CTTTCTTTCCCTGGTCAAATTTAAAAATAATAACAAAAAACTGAATTAAATAAATCTTAAAAAGAAAACAAAAAAGAAACTGTTACTCAAGCAAAATATTTACTAAGATATCCAGCTAGTAATAGCTTTTTTGGTGGACTAGTAAGTCGTCAGGAAAGTCATGACATATGTTTCCATGTTTTTCTATGCAACAGTGTGTCATGACTTTCCCTGATGACCCAATAGTAAGTTTAGAAATTAGATCATAAACTTCCTGAGAAGCTGAAGGGCCAAAGATGTTAGAAGTGAAAACATTTCTGTGAACAGAAAATACTCTCCACATTCTAGGAACCTAATAACTATTACATATGTTTTGGAGCACTCGTAGTCTAAAGCCTGAAAATATTCCTGACTCATTTCTGAAAGTAAGATGCCAAACTCAATTTTAAACACCAATGAACATTCACTAGACATGAATCTAATCTTAAACCAACATCGGTATCTTCAGCAATATTTTATTCAAACAAGCTTCTATATTATACAAATCCATATAAACAGTTTAATAGTCATAAACTCAGATGTAGCAAATACAATCACCCTTACATCTTTAAGCCCCCAAATAAAAATTTATTAATGAAAACCTGTCTGACAGGGCAAGTCCAAAGGTCTGGTTTGTTTTTTGGGGGGCAAGACTTAAAACAATGTATTGATTATTCCCTTTAATTAACCATACAGCAGTTGAAGTAATAGGAAACAGGAGATTGCTTCTTCTCTGAGGCTTGTTTTTCTGCTGAGAAAGCACAGAATTTAAGGCAGCATAACATAACCATGCTGCAAATTATTCTTTACCAAAAACAAACAACAACAACAAAAAAAAATCACCAGTTGCAACCAGGTGGAGGCATAGTGCTAAAACATGCTACTCTACAAGGCTGACCCACATGGAAAGATTCTGAGTTAATGTTTCAAGACCTCCCTGAGTATGTGAGGCACACATAAACCTATGATCTGGGACAGGCTGAGGCTAGGAGTGGATTGTCGCATCAAGACCCATCAAGGATGCTCTCTTTGCCTCTTTTGCTCATGGGAGAAATAAACTTAAAAAAAAAAAAAGTGATTAGCACAGGTTTGAATTTTCAAAGTTGATAAAAAGCAGTGGTTTTCAATGTTGGCTGCATGTTAAAATTTCCAGGGGTACTTTTTAAGTATCAGTACTCAGGTTCCACTCCAGACCAGTTAAATTGGTATTTAAGTACAAATGCTGGGGAGCAATAGCCTTGAAACACTGCTAGGAGATGCTAGCAGCAGCCAGGTTGGAAACCACTTGAGCTAAATTAAATAAGTCTTACACAGGGGACAGGAATATGCTCTGCACTTACTTTTTTCCCTTGGGTCTATTTTCTAGAGGGTGACTCCTGGTAGGTATAGAAGCAAAATATCATTTTGTCCTGCTTCAGTATGACTAAGCACTTCCCATATCACAGGAAAGAAACTTTGGACCCCAAGATAAAACAAAAACGATAGGGTCAGCTGAGTCTGATCTCAAAGACAGTAAAACCTTGAACATTCCCATAAACCTGGACTCTAGCAAAAGCAATTTTATCCCTGGTTTCTGCTATACTGTATTTGTAGATTTATCATTAGATAAATATGTCAAATTCACCTTTGTAAATATGTAAATCATGTGAGACAGTTGCTCTTTTTCCCCCATGAACAGACCAATGCAAACTTGGAAGCCTTGGCAATTTTTAATTTCTTCCTTCAAATACTTGTGCTTTTTATTCAGCAAGCCAATTCTTTTGCTTTCTTTGTAGGTCAACTTTTCCTTTCCTTAAATGCTTCTGCTTCTTAGTCTTTAACAATGGTAAAGTCCTAAAGAGTGTTTGGACTTAGAACTAGATGCTCTCCTCCTAGTAGAGTTCTCTGCCAGTGATAAGGGAAAGGGCTGAGAAATGAAACCTGCTCAGTTAGCTCGTGTGTATTTAGAGCTGTAACCCAAGATCCAGTTCAACCGTAAATGTCTGCTTGGCCATGCTGAACAAATCCCAAGGTTGCTGTCAGCCATCTTCAGCTAGTTTTAGTTCTATTCCCCTCAACTATGCGAAGTGATTTTCATAAAACTCTAAATCAAGAATGACGTCAAAGACCTATTAAAATACTGGAAATGGACAAGCACACACTAAGGAACCAAGAGCTCAGCTACTTTACTTTTGTGGAACTCATTAAAACCTATTACAGTCAACTTTACTGGCTCTTCAGCTAATGGGAATGTTGTCATAGCAATTTTTTTTCCCCCAGAGAGTGCATACACTTCCAAGAGGCAGAGGGAGGGGGAGTGAGAAAGCACACCCCTCCCCCCATGAGGAATTGACACACAATCCCTTTTTCATCTCTCTCTCATTTTGGGATTTTGATTCCACCTAGTATGTTCTTCAAACTGCTGGGTCTGGGAGCCAAACTGCGCAGCTGGCTCTATGGGACCCTCTATGCCTCAGGGTGGCCCAGCAAATATTATTTGAAACTGTAAAACAAGCTCAGTAAAGATGAAGATCTCTTCTGTTTTACATTGTTATGTTCCCAGAGCCCAGATTATGAAACATGGTAAATGCCCCATAAATATCTGTTAAATGATTGCTATGCATGAACCTGGAAATGTTTCTGGTCCACGGAGATTGAGTTGCAATATCTCTTGCAAACTAGGAATCCTCTTGCAGCTCACTTCAGTAAAAATGCTAACCTAATAGGACAAAACTTTTCTTTTTCTTGGTAAAAATCAGTCCACTGACTTCAGTCTAATAGGCTTGTTGAAAAATGTCTGCAATTTGGTGTGATTTTGTTTTTCCAGTTCTGATTCAAAAGTGAACTGGGCCAGGACTAGCAGGTGGTGTGGTGGTGAAGGTGCTAGACTCCCACATGGCTAACCACAGTTTAAGTCCCAGACTCAGCAACTTTTAAATCACACCAGACACATGTGCATGTGCACCCAGAATCCCAAGAGAAGGTAGAAGGGATTTCAGTATGGCAATCCCCCCAGGAGATAAATTCTACTTTCCCTCTCACTGTCTCTCTCATCTCTCTCCAGTGAGTGCACAAGCCCTATGGCAAAACCTAAAAATAATAATATTAAGTAACTCTTCATTAAAAACAAAAGTGAACTGGGAACCAGCAGTTAGCGTAATGGCTATGTCGCTGGACTCCCATGTAGTCGACCACGGTTCGTGTCCCGGACCCGGTGGCTTAAAACTCACGCCGGGCGCGTGTGCGTGCGTGCCCAAGATCCCGAGAGGAGAGTGGAGGAGAAGGGATTGCGGCGTGACCATCCCCCCTGGGGGGTGATTTCTCGCTTTCTGTCTCTATGTCTCTCTCTGTCTGGCGAGCGAACGCACCCTACAGTGAAAATTTCTCAAAAAAACAAAACAAACAAACAAAAAAAAAGTGAACTGTGCCAACCCAATCTTAGTAGAACACACTGGACACTGCTGCTCAGTAGGTCACAGCCACATGGAAGACTGGGTTTTATTCCAGGCCAATCCTAAAAGCCCAGTGTGGTGGCATGTACCCATAATGCCAGCTGCTTAGGCTGGAGTAGGACAATCAAAAGTTCACTGCCAACATGGGCAATATAGCACAACCTTGTATGAATCTGTGAGCCAGGTGTGGTATACACGTAGTTCCAGCTACCTGGGAGGCTGAGGCAGGGAATTTCCAACACAGTGAGACCCTGTCTTTAAAAAAAAAACAAAATGAAACAACATACACACACACACACACACAAACACAAACACAGAACAGTCCCTGGGCCTGGCCTGGCAATTAAGTACAGGTTATTTGTATATTAACAGACATTTACTAAGAACTAATCAAGATGAATGTTAATACTTAAAATTATACTAAGTCTTTTCCTTCCACTGTGGAAATATATTATCAAACTTTAACAATGCCTATCATCTGGCCATTCACATTTTTGTTTGTAAAATCCTAGTGAATTTCCCTATGAAGTTCCAAATTTTCTGCCATGTTCTTATTAGCATCTTTCTCTTCTGAGCTACTGGGTCTTGCTAGAAAAGTCATGATGCATTTTTGTATAAAAAATAATACATCTTCTGCTCTCTAAAAGTAGATGTGGGGGACCAGCAGGTGGCATGGTAGTTAAGGCACTGAACTCCCACATGGCCAACCACAGTTCAAGTCCCAGACCCAGCAGCTTGAAACTCGTGCCTGATGTGTTTGCATGCATGGCCATTTGCATACAAGTCCCAAAAGGAGAATGGAGAGAAGGGATTGTAGTGTGGCCATCTTCTCTGGGGTGTGATTTCTCACTTTCTCTCTCTCTCTCTCTCTCTCTCTGGTGAGCACCTATGGCAAAACCCTGGGGACAGGGGGGTAGATACTGAAGGCAGGATTACTGTTCTACACAATAACAAGCCTCCCAGCTGTCAAGTAATTGCTACTGCCTGAGAATAAATAGTAAATTTTCCAAGTCCCAGCTAAGGGAAAAGTACAGTTTAAAAATTGCAAAAGGCTTTTTACTAACCCTCCCCTAACCCCTTCCAAAGCTGTTAGATTATTAACATGAACCAGTACTGTGGCAGGCATACAGGTAAAAGCGGCAGTGGTCAAAAGGTACTGTGTTTCACTTAAAGGTGGGGCCAGCCCATGGCATGGTGCTTAAGGCATCTGGACACCCCATGGCCAACTGCACATTTTGAGTCCTGGACCTGGTAACTTGAAAAACACATCAGGTGCATGTGGGTGCAGGCCCAAAATCCCAAAAGGAGAAATGGAGAAAGGATTATAATGTGGCCATTCCTCATGGAGAGTGCCTCTCACTTGATCTCTCTCTCTCTCTCCAAGGAGTGCGTGTGTCTTCTGGGGATCTTTTTTTTCTTTTAAGAATTACTGATCTAACTTTTATTATTATTTTTTTAATTTGCTACAGGACACATGCACTCATGAGAGAGAGAGAAAAAAAAAAAAAAACAGGTCGCCAAGTCCGGGACTTAAACCCTGATCAGCCACATGGGAGTCCAGTACCCCAACCACCACACTACCCTCTGGCCCCTCTGGAAATGTTTTTAAAAAAAAACAAAGGTAAATTCGTAGAAATCAGAGAAAGCAGACATACTTTAGTCACGTATAAATTAGGTATTATTCACCATAAAACTTAGAAAGAAGTGAAGAAAATTCATCCTCAGTTCTAGTCATTTATCCAAGGGTGGCCCACACCAGTTTTGCCATATTTACATGAAGTACCCTTCCTCTTCCCTGATCTTTAGCTACCTGACAACTTTTAACCAGTACTTTGGTTTCCAAAGTACCTCAAACTTGGGAATAAGGAGACCTAGATGGATCTTTTCACTGGAAAAGACTGCATCTCATTGTACATTAAACTTATAATCTGGTTTACAGTGTTACAACATGATTACCACTCAAACCCAGTGAGGATCAAACCCTGAAACAGGAAGGCGCAGACTCAGCCTCTGTGACTGAGGTAGGCAAAGGACCTCAAATGACCCTGTGAACAGTTCTACTACTAATGTAGTTAACTCCAAAACTGCTTTTAAAAATCAAAACATAGTGCCTCCAAATACATCTGAACATAGAGAGAAAATTAGCATATAAAAATAACTTTTCTTTTTAAAATGTCTGCAAAAATAGTATAATTCCCATAATTGAATAAATTACTGTATTTCACTGAATCTAAAACACTGATTGTAAAATGTGACATTACCTTATATACACATATGGGGGGGGACTGCCAATTAAACTTTGGCACATGTTAAACGATCACAGATTTTAAGATACGTCCTGATTTTAGAGATGTTAAAAGTGTAGAAAAAAATGATGTATCTTAGAATCAATGAAATGCAGTACTGAAAAATGTGTTCAGATAGTCATTCAAATAAAGCATCACACATTAAGTATGTTAAATGGACACATATTCATAATCAATAGCACATTCTTAAAGCTATTTATCATTTTTGTTTGACTTCTCATCTGAAATGAAGAATGGGCCAGCACTGGTGCGGGTATCTTGCACGAACTTTAAAACTTACGGATTCCCAATTTAGAAATCGTCTCATTTTCATTTCTAGATGAACAGGGAGGTGAGATAAATGAGGCCTGCATTCAGTGATGAGTGCAGAGCCAGAAAGGAAAGTCAAGGCATAAAGCCAGGTCTCCTGGGTCCTATTCTGTGTTCTCGGCATAGAAATCACAGATCAAATGACTCATTCCAATTCTTTGGTCCAACCACTCACATAAAGTGATTAATATTAAAAATATATGTCCATTTCCAAAGATGCTCTCTTTTATAAAAACTACTTTCTCAATTTCCTTGGCAGAATACCAATGCATGATTATTTGTTCAGCAAACCAGTTCAACTCCTCCATGGTTTCATTCTATTGGAACCCTCAACGTCTCAAAAACAAATGCCTTCTTTGCATGCTCTGAGGGATGGAAACCAGAAAATATTACTTCATGAGCTACCAGCCTCACAACAAGATCCTACTGTATGAGACCATTTGGTTATTTATGGAAGACTCTAGGAATTACAGGACATTTCACAACTTTTTAACATTTGTTATAATCAGACCTCAAAGCATGCTGAAAATCTGCTAATGCTCTGCTCTGACTGGCCTGTTTAGAAGTGGTAATTAGTTATCCATCTTCTCTTAAGTGTCAGTCCCTTTTATCCTGGTTTCTGGCAAGGTGCTTCACAGGGGAGATGCCAGTATTAGCCAAAGAAGACTCAAAAACTAACACATTAGGGAGGGACTGGTTGGAGTCTTCAGTTGTGGGCTCCATCAATATATTTCTAGATGTCTGTATTACAGAATCCCTCATTGTATCATTCATTTCAATCACTTCAAAATCCATTTCATTCCATTTTTCTGCATCATCATCTTCATTCTCTTCCTCGTAGTCATTTAGCCCAGAGCTGGCAAGCAAAGCTTTCTGGTCCTCACTCTTTCTGTTTTCTTTTCGCTGACGATCAAGAGGTGAAGTGGCTAATTTATACATCACAGGAAATAAAATAGCAGTGGCTATTGCTGCCCCCAAGGAGGTATACAGAACTACAGGCAAATGAGGATATTTTCCCTGAAGAATTCCAATTACTGCAGGAATGGCCATTTCTCCCAGGGCTGCACCAACTACAAAAAACGCTGCAGCTTTCCCATGGATGGTTGTGTATTGCTCAATCCAGGAAACTCCACTCGGAAATGTGGTTGCCATTGAGGCCCCATACACGGAAGTTGCTATCCAGAGACAAAGTGGGTTCTTGTCAAAAAGCACCAGAAATAAAGAAGAAGCCAAGCTGCCGATGTTGCTGATCACAATCATGGTTCCGGGTTGGAAATATGTAGCAAAAAAGATCGCCAGGCCCCTGCAGGCTGCAAAGGTCCCCCAGAAGATGGAGTTCAACCCAGCAGCTTCACTTTCTTTCATGCCAACATGAGTGGTTGCAAAGGAAAAGACATAAGAGCCATATGTTACCTCAGCTCCAACATAAAAGAAGAAGAACACGAAAAGGAGACTCAGAAGGGCTTTGTGATGTTTAGCTCTTCGAGAGCTCTGAGCAGATGCATTTGCTGTCTCCCGCCTTGAGCTTTTCTTTAAAAGCAAAGCAAAAAAAAAGAGAGAAACTACTAAAACGTAAGTCCCAATAAGAGCATAAGCCCACAGTAAATTCAGATTTTCAGGTATTCCAAACAGAGATTCTGAGTCAGCTCCAGATGACTGGTTGAGGACAGGATGGTGGAAGTCAGACTCCGTGTGGTTTTCAGCAGACACGGTTGTCGTGCCCAGTGCCAACTTAGCTAGCAGTGGAGCCAAAAAGGCACCCAAAGCAAAACTGAAGTGTAAGGCCTGCATATGTGGAGCTCCTTTGTCCCCCCAAAGAGCCAAGATAAGGACATTACCACCTACCAATGAAAGATGAGAGAAATAATTAGGTTAAGCATAGTAACTTTGGAAACAACAGTTCATTACTATCAGGAGATAAGTCTACTTTCCCTGGCACAAGTATTATAATATTCAAAGTTATCAAACATTGCACCTAAGTCAATTTTATGATTAAGGAGCTCTAGCCCACTACCACCAGAGAAGTCTATGCATTATAATATCACATACTCACTTCAGTAAGTGGTAAATACCTCCTAGAGCCAGGCACGTTAGCAAAAGGCTTTTTTGGGGGGACTAGTTTGCTATAGGGCGCATGTACTCACCATGCCACAATCACTTCTCCATTCTCTTGGGATTTGGAGCAAACATGCACATGTGCCCAGCATGTTTTCCAAGTTACGTGGTCCAGGACTCAAACAGCAGTCAGCCATGTGGGATCTAGCAACCTTAACTGTCATGCCACCTACTGGCCCCGCAAAATGGTTTTTACAATCCACTACTAAGATAGGGCTGGGGGGAGATATTTATAAAGATATTTATATTTATAAAGTTTTTTAAGTATTTATGTTTAAAAAGAGAAAATTTATCAAATAGTGAACAAATTATCAAATTATCAAATTATCTGTACTTGCAACTGGAAGATAGTTGAGAAAAATTATTTACTTATGTATATAGCAGATACAAAACACATGTTCAGGAACCGGAATACTCCAGGATTCTGGTGTGCCCATACAGAAAACAAGGACAGCTTTTAGCATTTGCAGTTATCACTATCTAAATACCTACAAGATGAAACACAAGAAGCATCAAGTCTTGAGCTATCTTTGTTTTTTAACAGATATTTTCAAATAACGTAATTTCACCTAGTAAGTTCATAACCAAACTAGGCCTAAAGTCTAAAATATTTCCCAGATCTGTCAAGTAACAGCAGAGGAAGAAAAGGTGGGTAAAAAGTTGGTTTCAGAGGTAAAGAAATGTGACATATTGGGGCCAGCACATGGCATGGTGGTAAAGGAGCTGGACTCCCACGTAGCCAACTGCAGTTTGAGTCCCAGACCTGGTGGCTTGAAAATCACACTGGGTATGTGTGTGTGTGTGTGTGTGTGTGTGTGTGTGTGCGTGTGTCTGTGCCCCCAAAATCCTGAGAGGAGAATGGAGAACGGATTGCAGCATGGCTACCCACCCCCCCCCGGGGGGTTATTTTTCACTTTCTTTCTCTCTGTCTCTGTCTCTCTGGTGAGCACATGCACTCTATAGCAAAAATCTCTCTAAATAAAAAAGACGTGCTACATACAGGATCTGCTGCTGGAGAGAAGGCACTTTCAAGGGAGAAAAGAAAGAAGAAAAATAGTACACTAAAAACCAAGAGTTATCTCATAGAATATCATTCTTTAAGTTCATTTTGTAACTGGCTACTCAAAAACAGGCCCCTGAATTGCCAATAATAGTTGCCAAGAGGGGCAGTTCTGACTGGGTGACCCAATGACCAACTCAGTAGCTCCATGTTATTTTGGGAGGTTGACTGCAAGGAACAGTAATATCAACTCTTCTTTTTCTAGTAGGTAATCTCTACTCCCAGAGGTAACACGGAAAGGTACACTAACCTGTATCCAGAATGCCGACTGAAGCACCAAAGACAGACATCATGACAATCAACAATACTGCTGTTTTACAAAAGGGAACAAGATAGAAACCGACTGTGGTAGCCAGCATTGACAGCCCTGAGAAGAGAGGTAAATATGTCAGCGGCAAAATACTATTCTTGCAGTCATGGATCAAATCAACATAAAAACTTTCAAAAATGCAAAGTAAAGTCAAATTAATATTTGAGTATAATGTGTAAATAAGCTTCTACAAGTGGTTATTTCATTTAAGTTTTTATAACTGTTATGAACTATAACATAAATTACTACAATATGAAAACATATCTAGCACTGCTAATAATCAAACTATAAATTTTACCAAAAGGCAGAGCTTTATAGCAAAATATACAGACCAAAAATTACTTATTTAAATGCTTCACATTTAATAAACTAAAGGGATTTTTAGATCATAAAATAAATGCAAAAATGAAATGCAATTACTATAGTGATTTATAGTAAATAAGTACTAAATAAATTAGTTTGAGGAATGGGAAGAGAAATATATTCTTTCAACCCACTTGGGAAATAAAAGGGATTATTTGTTCACTAACAATAATACATTATTCTTATTTCAAAGGGGTTTTGTCACAGTAATCTAAATTTTCTTTAAACATGTCAGTTTATTGAAAAAAGAGAATATTAAAAGCTTTGCTATTTCCAGGGTGGGATGGGGTGATCTGGAGTTGTCACTGAGATGTGGCAACAAGGAAAAAAATGTACCTTACATTAGCTCATAAATCACTCCCTCCCCACTATGCTCCCAATCCAGAGGTGCAAAAAGCTCATTCCAGGCACCAGCAGTTGGCGTAATGGCTATGTCGCTGGACTCCCATGTAGTTGACTGCGGTTCGAGTCCCGGACCAGGTGGCTTAAACTCATGCCACGCATGTGTGTATGCGCATGCCCAAGATCCCGAAAGGAGAATGGAGAAGAAGGGATTGTGGCATTGCCATCCCCCCTGGGGGTTGATTTCTTGCTTTCTGTATCAATATCTCTCTCTTTCTGGCAAGTACACATGCCCTATGGCAAAAACCTCTCAAAAGAAAGCTCGTCCCAGGGATGGCCCAGGTGTTAAGAGAGCCACATCCCACACACTTAACCATGGTTCAAATCCCAGCCCTGGTGGCTTGAGGAACCTACCAGATATATGTGTACATGAGTGCTGCAAATCCCAAAAGGATGGTAAGATGGAGAAGGGTGACCATGCCCAATTAGGAAGGATACTTTACCTACTTTCTCCCTTTCCTTCTCTGTTTCTGGTGGGCACACACACCCTCTAGCAATCAAAAAAAAAAAAAAAAGGAGTTGGAAAAAAAAAAATCTCACTCTAATCTGTGGGGAATCCCCAGGAGATCTGCCATAAACCCTGATAAGCAGGAACAGTGTGTGATCCAAGAGTGATACCTAACTTATAGTGAAGGCCAGGAAGACTAAGGATTGTTAATACATCCTAGGGCTAATCTCAGTTTGCAGATTGCCAGGGCAGACACCCTATCACTGTCAAAGGCATAGGAAAACCAAACCTCCATCAAGGGCAACTAAGCCCTACCCACTTCAATGATCAACCATTCTGTAGACTAGTATTTTTCATATCTAAGACAAATTGTAAATTCATTGAAAATCACAAAGAAGCTAAAATTAGTGTTCACTTACCTAAAAGTAGAAAACTATTCATAATGTCAAAAAGAACTCCACCAATCACAGAGCCACTCAAGTATCCAAAGGCACGGCCCACAAAAATTAGAGAAAGACTACTGATATTTCGGTTCACATTCGTTGCCAAATCTTGAAATGTGGGTCCCAGTATAGCGACACTCATCCCCTAATATTTAAAAAGAAAAGCTTTTACTTACAATCATTATAATGTCTAGGGGCCAGCAGGTAGCACAGAGGTTAAGGTGGCTGGATTCCATATGGCCAACGGCGCTGAATCCCCAACCTAGCAGCTTGAAAAATCATACCAGGTGTATATGTGCATGCCCAAAATCCCTGAAAGAAAATGGATAAGAGATTGCACTGTGACCAACTCTTCTAGGGGGTGATTTCCCAATTTCCCCCTCTCTACCTCTAATCTCTGTCTCTCTTTGAGCAGCACACTTGTCCTAAAAAAAAAAAACAAAAAAAAAAAAAAAAAAAAAAAAAAAAAAAAAACACCAACAGAGGTCTAACATACAGTAGTTGCTCTGATTTAGTCATTACACATTGTATACATGATTCTCACACCACAGCCCCAAAATACATACAATTATTATTTGTCCATTTAATATAGTAACAATAACAAATGTCTATTTGGTAGCTTTCATAGCTTTTCCACTATGAAAAAAAAAAGTTGGGGCAGATTACAATGAAATGTAGGGGATTACTTTAAGTCCCACAATCAGGAAAAATTCACAATGACAGAACAGTAGGAGCTACAGACTTCTACTCTTTTTCTAGTTTTGACAACTGAATTATTTGTTTGTTTGTTTTGAGAGGTTTTTGCTATAGGGCATGTGCGCTTGCTGGAAAGACAGAGACAGATAGAGAGAAAGCGAGAAATCACCCCCAGGGGGATGGCCACATCGCAATCCCATCTCCTCCATTCTCCTCTTGGGATCTTGGGCACGCATGCACACACGTCCAGCGTGACTTTAAGCCACCGGGTCTAGGACTTGAACCACAGTCGACTACATGGGAGTCTAGCGACATAGCCATTAGGCTAACTGCTGTCCCCTGACAACTGAATTTTTAAAATATTCTTATAATTCTGACTTTCTGTTGTAATCAATTCCTTTTTGAGCAATACCTTAAAAGACTATTCTGTATTGTATTGTTTTATGTGTAGTTAATAAAACATTAGAACTATTCTTGAAATAGTTTTGTATATTTGGAAATATACTAATGTGCAAAAACATAAGAATTTAGATGTTAAAATTTTTAAGTATTAAAAATTTTGTTGATGTTAAGACAGCAATATTCCTGGATATTCTCTGAACTATACACATAAAACATGTAGGGAATAAACAACTTACATGTTTCTAAATTCACATATTTTGTCAAATAAAATCCCACACCACTGGGACCAGGTAGCATGATGGTTAAGGCACTGAACACCTACATGCTGACCTCTGTTCAAATCCCAGACCTGATTTGAGCTTGAAAGTCATACCGGGTGCATGTGCCTACATGCTCAAAACCCTGAGGAGAACAGAGGAGAAGGGACTGTGGCATGGCCGTTTCACCCAGCCCCTACAGGAAGGAATTTCTCACTTTCCCCTCTACTGTCTCTGTCTCTCTATTAAGCACACTTTCCCTATGGCAAAAAAACTAAAAAAAAAATTTTTTTAACTCAAAAAACCCCCACCAGGAGTATTGTCTGTTTTGCTTTCTTAGAAAACATTAATACATATGTACAGAATAACGTTTTTTTAAAATTTTGCTGGAGAACATGTGTAGCCAGAGAGAAGAAAAGTGAGAAAATATCTCCCCACAGGTGATGGCCACCCTGTAATCTGTAATCCCTTCTCCTCCATCTCCCCCTCCTATCACTATTTTGTATGCGTGTGCACACACACTAAGCATATTCTTCAAAGCTCCATATCCAGGACTCAAACCACATTGTCAGCCATGTGGAATCCAGTGCCTTAACCACCACACTACAGGGTGGTCCCCAAAGGACAAAATTTTACTCAAAGACAAGTAGAGCTGGCATGAACTAAGGGTTGTCATCAGCTTTCAGAGGAAAACTGCTGGACACCTGAAGAAACGTCTCTAACAGGACTACAATTCAAATATAATTTATTCTCTTAATAATTGCAGTGCTCTGTTCTAAAGGCATCGGTGTGCCCCTGCCCAAGCCAGAGCAGGCCAAGACTAAACCAGCATGGGCACAGGCTCACCCAGGCTGGAACAACACTGGAAGTCTGAAGATCTGCTCTAATCAAATTAGTTCACACTCTGAAAGGATTTATTACAAGCGGACCAGGCACAGGGCTCACCAAGTACCTGCAGTGATCTCTTCCTTCACTCCCTGCCTCCCCCTGAAATACTCTAAACCACCCCAGGTCCCAAGTTTCAGACTAAGTGATCAGAAGTGACTCCTCAGAGGACTCACCCTCCCATCTCCCTAGGATCACAACTGCCAAGTGATAAAAGGAAAGCATCTACAAATAATGAATCTAGGGAAGATCAAAACCTATTTAAATAGGGTAGAATAAGAGATATATTCCCAATTGTATGAACTGGAAATCCACTTATCCTCTCTGGGCCAGTTTCTCTATTTGCAAAATTACGTAGTTGGCTGAATTTGATCAGACCACCAGGAAGAGGAAATCCCAAAAGAGTGACAATGGCAAAACACCTGGGCAAGCCATCTTGCATCTTCCTATCCCTCCCCATCCCACAGAAGAGACATAGGAAGGTTTGCTGGAGCTGGAAAACATATTCAAACAATTTCGTATGTGACCATCTCACCAAGTTTAAAAATTGTGCCCATTTTCCAGATAGGGAAACTGAGCCCTGGTAGCCCAAGTAACATGCCCAAGGTCACACAGTTGGCACCCTGCGAAGGCGGAGAACTCGCAAGGCCTAGTTCTCTGCAGCATGCCTGTTCACTCCCCTGGCAAGTGCTGCAGCCCCGGCTCTCACCAGCCCCAGGAAGGCGGCAAATAGGATCACGGTGCTGAACCAGCGCAGCATACTCCCGGCCTGGCCGCTCCGCCGGGAGACTGCCACAGTCTCCGGCACATTCTCTGCAGGGGCCTCGGCCTGGAGGAGCCGCTGCCCGGCAGCCAGCGCCCCGGCCCCACGGAGATCCACTTCCAACTCCAGCTTGGCGGCTACGGAGAAGTGCTGTGCGGGATGGGGCTTCCCAGCAGAGCCTCACGAGCCAGGAGCCGAGCCCCAGCCCCGCCCCTCAGGCCCGCGGGCGCGGCGGGGGGGGCCCCGGCCTCCCCAGGGACCGCCCCGAGCCGGGGCCGGGAAGTCCCACTTTGGAACGCGCCGGGTGTCTGTGGGCCGCAGCTCGCACCCTCCGCCTCGCACAGCGCCTGCGCGGGTCACGTGACGGAAATGTGGCCTCTAGCCAACCAGGACCGCGCCGCAAGCCGGAAGTTGATGTGGTTGCTAGGAAACCGGACGTCGCTCTCTGGCCTCGGCATCACACTTAGCTGAGCCCACAGAGGCCGGAGGGCGGGCGCCGCGTGGCGGAGCCAACTGGAGCTGCAGCCTGGGACTGCAGGAATCGTGAGGTAAGCTGCGGCCAAACGCTTGTGAGCGAATACCGGCCAGGATTGCCGGCGGTGGGGTCTCCCGGGGCGCAGGCAGCCCGGAGGGGTGGCCCTTTTACAACTTTCTGAGGTTTGCTGCTTGTCAGTCTGTTAGTCGCTCACTCCGCAAACATGTACTGAACCTGTGTAAGCAGCATCTCACCCGCACCTCGCCACTCTAAATTCCATTTGTTCCCCTTGTACGGATCGGACGGTTAAGTCAGAGCAGTAGCGACTTGCCCGAGGTCAGTGCGAATCGGTGGCCTTCCATAAACAGTGTAGCAGTAGCTCAGCAGCCAGTCGGGACACAGAGCTGCGGTTTCGCGCACACTCCCGCCCTGGTTCCTACGGGTGATTCCGTTGCAAGGAGGTGGAGCACCGTTTGATTTGTGCAATCCCTTAGTAAAGCTATGGCCGCAGAGAAGGAAAGGATTGAACGTTTTCTTTTCTTTTTTTTTTTTTTAAAGTTTATTTACTCCTTCCATAAGAGAGGGTACACTCCCTGCAGGGTCCTCCCACGGTGATCCATCCGGTCTCAGCTGGCCCCAGTCTCAGCTGACCCAGGTCTCAGCGGGCCCTGGTCTCCGCTGGCTAGCATCATGGGCATATGCCACTAGTGTGCGCAGGGAGGTGGCGGAACTCCAACCCATGTGGACCCAGCAGCCCTATCGCTGTGTCTTGGCCTGGCCCCAAGGTCTTATCTTCCTTATCCAGCTCTGGCTGTTTTCTTTTGCTCTTTAAGCAGACCACAGCCTCAAAATGTTATGTAAATACTTTTTATCATCTACCTGAAATGCTCTTTTCCACCTGATTATCCTCTCTCTCATCCACTTAAAGCGATAAACCGGACTATCCACCTTAGTTTCGGGGCCAGCAGATGGCGTAGGGGATACATGGCTGGACTCCTATATGGTGGACCATGGTTTGAGTCCCAGACCTGGTGGCTTGAAACTCGCACCAGGTGCATGTGCTTGCGAACAGAAGATCCAGGGAGATTGGAGGAGAAGGAATTGCAACGTGGCCATCCCCCCCCACCCTACCCCCCTCTAGTGATTTTTCACTTTCTCTTTACTGGGAGCCCATACCCCTAAGGTAAAAACCTCTACCAAAACAATAAACCTTAATTCCATCATTTCTTGCAACCCACCAGCCACATCTATTTGGTTAGTAGGTCTTTCCAGTTTACATCAGAAATGTCTCTTAAATCTAATTCCAACTCTCCATTCCCACTAATTAGTTCTTGTCTTCCTCATTTCCTTGCTTGGACCATTATAAAAGCTTTCTAACTGATTTCCAAAGCCTGGTGGTGAAGGTTAAGGCAGCTCGATCCCACATGCCCAACTACATGGCTCAAGTCCTGGACTCCGCAGCTTAAAAATCATGCTAGGTGTGTGTGTGTGTGTCCAGAAATCCTGAGAAGAGAATGAAGAGGGAATTGCAATGTAGCCATAACCCAGGGGATGATTTACCACTTACCACTTTCTCTCTCAACCTCTCTCTCTCTCTCTCTCTCTCTCTCTCTCTCTCTCTCTCAAGCACACACCTTACAGCAAAACTTAAAACAAAATCTAAAGAACATCAAAGTGACCATAATTACAGGACCTTAAAAATTGGGTCTGGCCCAACCCTGCTTCCCCTTGAAAGCCTAGAAGACACATGGAACTCAGGTTCTATTCTTGGGCCAACCTCAACATGACCTGCAAAAAAAGATAACATTTCATCTGGATCTTTGAAGGATAAGTAGAATTTGCCATAGAGAAAAGGGTATTTTGAGTTAAAAGCAATGGTTACTGTAAATGTACAGAGAAATCTGAGCGCATAGAGTATTTGTTTTATTATTATTATTATTATTATTATTATTATTATTATTATTTTGGAGACATTCTTGCTATAGGGCATGTGTGCTGGCCAGAAAGACAGAGAGAGACAGACAGAAAACGAGAGATCACCCCCCAGGGGGATGGCCACGCCACAAACCCTTCTCCTCCATTCTCCTCTCAGGATCTTGGGCACACACACACACGTGCCTTGCATGAGTTTAAGCCACCGGGTCTGGGACTCGTACCGTGGTCGACTACATGGGAGTCTAGTGACATAGCCATTATGCCAACTGCTGGTCCTGGGCATAGAGTATTTATAAATCAGGATATGCCCAATGCTGGAAAACAATGGGCACAAAGCAAATACATTTCCTACCTTCATAGAGTTTATAGATTAGGAGAGGAGACTGATTTTAAATTATTGCCCAAAAGTAATATAGCTTGGGACCAGCAGTTAGCATAATGGCTATGTCGCTGGACTCCCATGTAGTTGACTGTAGCGTGACCATCCCCCTTGGGGGGTGATTTCTCTCTTTCTGTCTCTCTGTCTTTGTCTGGCAAGCGCACGTAAAACAAACAAACAAACAACAACAACAACAAAAAAAAACACTCCCCCCCCCAAAAAAATAATATAGCTTAATCATTGTGCTAAATATTAAGTCATCAGAAAAGTCATGGTGCATTTTTGCATGGAAAAACAAAAAATATGGGACCAGCAGTTGGTGTAATGACTATGTCTCTGGACTCCCATGTAGTCAACCGTGGTTCGAGTCCTGGGCCTGGTGGCTTAAACTCACACTGGGCATGTGTTTCTGTGCCCAAGGAGAATAGAGGAAAAAGGATTGTGGCATGGCCATTCCCCCTGGGGAGTGATTTCTCGCTTTCTGTCTCTCTGTCTTTCTGGTGAGCACACGTGCCCTATAGCAAAAACCTCTCTAAAACAAAAACAAAAACAAAAACAAAAATATATGTCATGACTTTTCCGATAACCAAACACAGAAAAAAAAGCATAGAGGCTATGATTTAAAGAAACCTACTGCAAAGTTTGGAGTTAGAGGCCAGAGGTGGTGTGGTAGTTAAGGCACTAGACTCCCACATGGTCAGCTGTGGTTTGGATCCTTGACCTGGTGACTTGAAAACCGTGCCAGGTGCATGCATGCTCTAAACCCCAGGAAAATGGAAAAGAAGGGATTGTGGCATGACCATTCCTCTGGGGGATGATTTCTCATTTTCCCTCTTCACTGTCTCTGTCTCTCTTAGGGTAGTGCACACACCCTATGGCAAAAACTTAAAAATAAAAAGGAGTGATTTGAAGAACTCATCCAGTACTGGGTCTCACTGGTATTGTAAACAGGAAAAGGAGTGGCCAAGGACTCCAATAGACAGGTACTGATTATGCACCAGCTAGCAAGGCAATCACAAGTCAAAGGGGTATCTTGCTTTCCTCCACAAACAAATATCCTAGCAGGGCATATAGGGAGCCAGAAAGACGGAAATTGAAAGGCTCATCTGGGGCCAAGTTCTGAAGAGTAGGATGAAACCAAGGTCAGAGGAGGGCAGAGACCATGTGCCAGAGGTCATGCTCTTGACAGACCCTTAAGAGGTTGGAGTAGAGAGAGAATGTTTTCCCAGGAAGATAATGGTCTCTACCAGACTGGACACAGAGAACAAAGGGTAAAATCAAGGTAGTGAGTTAGACCAGCCTTTGCGAAAAGATTCACAATGTAGCTCACCATCGAATATTATGAGGATGGCCATGTGTCTGCCTGCATCTTATCACAGTGCCATTAATGGGGTGTGAACAGCTTAATTTGCTCTGAGCCATGAAATATCCACTTGCGATAGTGGGCAGTGTCAAGCAAAAGCATGCAACAGCAGTTGTGGGGATGAAAATTTGCACCCATTAGACAACACTGAAGAATCAGCCTCAGCAAAGTTGGGCACATTTGAAGAGCTGATGATGGGCATCATTAGAGGCTCACTGTGATCGCGATGTCCTGATTTTGGTTTGGGGGTGACACAGCCAGGATTTGGTGAGATTGCCAGTTTTGCCAAAGTTTGAGTGATTCTAATCATTGAGTTGTCTCTCTGAGCTTGGGTAAAGGTAATCAGTACAATAATAACACAAACAAAAATTTTCATTGGGCATAACAATAATCTATAGGTTAAAATATGCAATGTAGGATGCATGGGAGCTGACCAGTCTGTTTCAGAATAATTAATGTTGACAGTATTCCTAACAACTCGTCATTTAAAGTGATTACAAAATAGACCTGAGAATTGATTATGTTAAACTTACTGGACTAGTGGGGGCACCAAAAGTCATTAAGTCCCCAAAGAAACAGGCAAATCTATTGGGCCTGTAATAGACAAAGACAGTAAGAAAGGTTACTGAAATCAGCAAAACAAGTATAACAAATTTCTGTCATCACTTATTGTTTATCTTTTCATTTATTTATTTATTTATTCATTTATTATTCTTTTAATTGGCTATAGGGTACATGTGCTTACCAGAGAGAGATAGAGAGATAGGGAAGGTGAGAAAGCAAGCTGCTAGGTTCAGGACTCAAACCACAGTTGGTCCTATGGAAGTCCAGCACCTTAACCACCACGCCACCTGCTTTCCCCTTTATTGTTTATCTTTTTGTCTCCTGAACAATGGTTTGTGGTCTGTCAGGAATTCTCTGGTCCTTTCAGGATTGTGGCATGCCTGGTGGGTCCTTATGGGAAGAAGTTTCCATAGAGCCAGCCTCCCACAAGTGCTATGAATCCATGGTTGGATTCCTTTTAACTTTATTGAGGAATGGGTCACCACAAGCACT